ATTTATTTATTCATACAGAGTTAGGGTACAGGCCAGAGATGCGGAGGGTGAGAGGATTCACCAGAGTGGGGAGCAGAACAGGCAGATCGACCAAGTACACTGCTGAGGGGAGCAGCGGGAGGGTCAGGAGAGGTCTGCCTCGCCATATGGATCTCCTCCAGAGCAGGCGGGAATCGAACTCATGCGGAAGTGGCTTAAGCTTCTTAGTGCTGTGCTTTAACCCGCTGTGCCACCAGGGAGGGCCCTGAACATAATTCTTATACACGAGATAAGGACAACTGGCAAAATTTAATTTAGATCGAAGGACTAGTTTGTAATAATATATCCTGATTTTTTTATTATTCTACTTTGGTTATGTAAAGAATATCTTTTAGAAACACCTTTTGCATATATTTACTCAAGAATTTCTAGGTAATGTTATGAAGTTGGAAACTTATTCTCAAATAATTCAGGAAAAAGAAAAGTTAAATTCTACCTGGTTTGTCAGAATAAAAAGATAAAGTTTCATAATATAGAAGTAGCTCCCTACTGCACCAACAACATAATTCTTTAATGGCATTCTCCATTTATCCAAGGCCTTATACAATCTAACTCCAACTTACTTTCTAATCTTACTTAGACAACTATTGGACTAAGTCCTCAAACTACATAGAACACTTAAAGGATCTCCCTTTTTATACCCCTCATAAGCTTAATTTTCACCAAATGAAATTCTACTCCTTTTCAAATTCCTTCCCAAGCTTCTAATGTCTATCATGGTTCCTCCAAAGAACATCTCTTGTGAGGAGTTTTTATTATTTGTTTATCTGTGCCTAGGACATACCCACTTCTCTTATCTGTTCAGAGCACAAGGCCAGCTCACATACTGAAAACATTCAATGTGTATAGAATTATAGGATATCTTGACCCAGGTATTTGTTCTGCTCAGATCTTCCCATGTATATGAAGTTCTTATTAGGTTTCCAGAAAAATAGGAATTTCAGTGTCATTGAATTGCTTTTCTTTTTTAAGCTTTATTTATTTATGCATATAAAACTGGGGTGCAGGCCAGAGGTGCAGGGACTGAGATGATTCACCACAGACAGAGTGGGGAGCAGAACAGGCAGATCCTCTGAAGTACACTGCTGAGGAGAGCAGTTGGAGGGTCAGGAGAAGTCTGCCAAGTCATGTGGGTCACCTCTGGGGCGGGGATTCAAACTCAAGCTGAAGTGGCTTTAGCTTCTTAATGCTGTGATTTAACCTGCTGCGTCACCAGGGAGGGCCCTGAATTGCTTTTTTAAAGCTTTTATTAGAGTTTGTAAAAGCACTCATCATATTTAACTCATGCAAATGATTTACTACAAAATTTCTTTGATATCCAGATATTTTCCCTCTTCACATGGGATGCATGTGAACAGAATACAAACAGGATAACAAAGAAAGTTAAAAAAGAAAGAAAAAAGCAAACAGGAGGTAGGCAAAGTAGTGCCACCCCCTTAGTCATCCCCATGTACCCCCTTAATCTGTGAATGTTAGATTACACTGCAAAAGAGAATTAATTTTGTAGACTGAGTTAAGGTAGCTAACCAGATGATTTTAAAATAGGGAGCTCATTCTGGACTATCCCTGGGATCCAATGTAATCATCAGGGTTCTTTAATGGGAAAGAGGAAGGCAGAAGAGTAGTCAGAGTAAGATGTGATCCCAAAAGGTTGGTCAGAGACAGGCAGTTACTGGCTTTCAAGATGCACACTGGGCACCATGAGCCAATGAAGATTAGCAGCCTACAGAATCTGGAAAGCAAAAAAGCAGATTCCAGAAAGGAAGTTAGCCTGTAGACACCTTGATTTTAGCTTAGTGGGTCAGACTTATAAAATATTTTAAGATAATAAATTTGTGAGTTTTTTAAAATCTACTTGTAATTTGGTATGGCAGTTTATGGGGGAGGGGAATCTACCTACCACTGACTTTCCTAATATTCTTATATCACTGTGATGCCCACTAGAGTACAATCTTCCAATATGCAAGCCTGGCAGCAAAAAGAATGTAGCTGAGGGTAAGAAGAGAGGAGGAGGTGGTTAAAAAGATGGTGAGATACCATTAGAGTTGGATTGGTGGTATTTTGTTGTTGTTCTGTTTTTGTTTTATGAACGTATACATGTTACACTGACTGGGAAACCTCTTGGCCTCCTCTGGGTGTCTCTCCAAAAAAATCCTGCATTTTCTGAAAAATGAGGCTCTACGGCCAAATTGCACCTCTGCCAATAACAAACACTGAGCCTGCCAATCAGTATAAGGCTCCTTAAGGAAGCCGTTTTCCTTGGAACTATCTCCAAATACGCTACAAGAACCGTGGGGAAACACAAAGCATTTTTAGCTTCTATTTACCCAAAGAAGGAAACTGAGAAGGGCCTGAGGCCTGGGCAGCACCAAAAAAGCATCCCGGGCACGAAGACAGAAGCGCCCCTTTGGCGATGCCACTGTCACCACTGGACTGCAGGGTAGGTGTGGGGCACAGAACCGCTGCCCCCTCGGGCATTGACCTGGCTGGGTGCCGGCCCCGCGGAACACCCCTCCTCCAGCCGGACTGCTCTAGCCCGGAACTCCTAGGAGCAGGGCTGGCAGCTGCGAACTGAGAGCCCCACTCACTTACCTTAGCCCTCCAGGCGCGGGATCCCCAGGCCCAGAGCGCCCACCTTGCCCGGAAACGTAGTGCGGCTGCGCAGGCGCTGGGCCCTGCGCTGCCGCTGCCGGAGTCTCAGGAACCGCCTATCGGGCGGTGTCCCCAGGATCCTGAGGCTGGCAAACTTTGACCTACGAAGACTCCAGTGGCATTAAAACTGAGGTTAAAAGCTTGGTACCTTTAAGAAAATAAATAAGGTAATAAAAATAAAACGAAAAGAAAGAAAAGGGGGAAAGAAAATTCTACCCAAGTGGTGTTAAAAAAAAAAAACCAAACTGCTCTCAAGACCAATCCTATCTGCCAATGAGTAGTCACTCACAAATAGTAATACTGTTTTCACTTTCGATTTTTAAAACGTGATTGTTTCGTTTCTGGTTTAAAGGTATCTATACCCAAAAACATGCCTGATGTTTCCATAAATACTCCTTTTAACATTTACTCTACAAACCACCCTCTTTGTGTGTGTATTACTAGACATATTGGTGAAAAGTGGATTAAAATCAAACAAAATCAAAGTAAACTTACAGATTGTAACTCTCATTGGAATTTATAACCTTAATCTATAAATTTTTACAACCAGCACAAAATCAACTTTTTGTGTGTGTCTTTTGCAATGTGTTCTGAGTCATGAAGTTGGGAAATTTGTGGTATTCAATTGGTTTCTGTGGCTCATGTGTCTGAAAAAGTTTTCCTATAATCTTTTGTTGTGAAGCATGCAAATAAATTCACTTGTGATCTTTTCCTTTGAAAATAAAAGCACCTGCGTTAAGCATTACTTGTTTCTTAAGCCCACACAAATCTGCTCTTGCTGTAGAGGTCAAGGCAGAGATGTAGAGAAATTATTTCCAGTCATAAATTCTAGTTTAGAATGCTATGCAGTTATACATAACAACTGATAACAGTGTCTGAAAACAACAGATTAAGTCAGATTCTTTCTTGAAGAATATTCATGGGAAGCAGTTTAAAGTGGCCTTCCTAAATTAGAATGAGTGCGTAATAAAGACTTCCTTGTGCTCATCTTTCCAGTTGGTACGAATTTTCATCTGCTGTGATTTAAGAGTTACTTCTGTTTAATCTTAGAACTTTAGAGACCATGAACTCTAGAGGTCTTTTAGTTGAACTTCATTTTTTCTTTTGCTTCATGTTTGTTTTTTATAAGAAGCTACTAAGCAACAGAGTCACTGCCAGAACAAGACTGACCTCATATTGATTCAGCTTGTGTTAAATGGCAAAGGATATAGTAGAAGAGCCTCTGTGGCTACCTATATGCTAAAGCTGAGCCATATGTAAAAGTCTGGATTCAACTCAGCTTCAGTTCCAATACCCTACAGAGTGCAGGGGTTCTAAAGATGAATTCTGCTCCTGAGCATGTTCTTATTAATAATTGTAATTGATAACATCTCATGAGAACGCCTGAGCATTTTATAAACCCATTTATTTTGTCAACATAGGGTATTATCTTTGCTTTGCAAATGAAGAAGCTAAATCTTAAAACGGTGAGCCCCCAAATCAAGCAGTTCCTGTGTGATGACTCTGACACTATATTCAACTCTTGACTGTTAAATCCATGTCTACACACTGTTCTATTGTGCATAGAGAAAGACTCCATGGATACAAACAATTAGCACATGCTGTGCATGAATTCACTTTTGCACATTCACAGTGTACATCAGCACATTATGAAGTTTAAGAAGTATTGTGGGAAAGTTAAAATACTTATTTAATAAGTTTTCAGTGAAAAGGGCCCTCCCTGGTGGCACAATCACTATGAAGCTATCACCAGCCACTGAAGCTAGAGTCCAATGCCCTGCCAGGGAGCTGACCCACATGGTATGCCAGATCTCTCCTGTCTTACCCACTGCTCCCCTCAGCAGTATATTTCAGTATCTCTGCCTGTTCTGCTCCCCACTCTGTCTCCGGGGAATCTTCCCACCTGCTGCACCTCTGGCTTGTACCCCAGTTCTTATGTGTATACATAAATAAATCTTTAAAAAAATAAAAGTTTTCTGTGAGACATGCCCTTCCTATACCTGAAGGAAAGAAACATTCCAACCTCAGAAAACAAAGGAACAAAGCAATACCAACAAGAACCATATCAAGATTTGCTAAGTTCACAACCCCCACATTTATTACCTCTTACTCCTTGACCTATCATACAACTGCCCATTCTTCATCAAACCCAGCATAAAAACATCCTCTAATTATTTCTTTACATCTTCATTCTGTTATGAAGTTTCCTTTGTCACGTAACAGATATAAAATAAGTTTGGACATTTTTTACTATTAAACTGATTTGTCAGTTTAATTTTCAGACCCAGTTAGGATCATATGAGGGCCAAGGAAAACTGTTTTCCTCCTCTACACTAAATTATGCCGTCTCCTAACCTAAAAGTTATTATTTACTTGGCTATCCATCACATAGTCAGTAAATATTATGTCCCACATTAGATGTTCTGGGTATCTCATGTAAGTCTACACCATAGTGTTATGACATGTTTATTGTTACACATTTATCCCCCCCATCAGATGGCAATGAATTCCTAGGCTTCCCTATAAATTATAGGGAACACAAACATACACATTTTGCAATATGTAAATGTATCAAATCATGTTGTCCTCTTTAAACTTATACAGTGTTGTGTTACTTATATCTCAATAAGCATGGGGAGTGCATACATAAATAGGGGACAGCAACAGATTTTTTAAAGTGAAGGAAAATAAAGACACCATCCCTTACTCTATCATGCAGGAAATACTAAATAATAAAGAGCACGGTTTTGATATCAGATGTTGGCTTGAATAGCAATTTCAAGCTGCTGAAGTTTCTAAGTCTAGTTTTCTCTTCTGTAAAAGGCATTTATTGTGGGGCCCTCCCTGGTGGCGCAGCGGGTTAAAGCACAGCACTGAGAATCTAAAAGCCGCTTCTGCATGAGTTCGATTCCCACCTGCCCCGGAGGTGACCACATGGCGTGGCAGACCTCTCCTGACCCGCCTGCTGCTCCCCTCAGCAGTGTACTTCGTCGATCTGCCTGTTCTGTTCCCCACTGTCTCTGGTGAAGCCTCTCACCACCCCTGAACTTCTGGCCTGCACCCCAGTTCTGTATGCACAAATAAATAAATCTTTTTTTTTTTAAAAAAAGGCAGTTATTGTGAATGAGATATTCTTTCATGTCAAGGACTTAACACAGTGTCTTACCTATGATAAAAGCTCAATAAAAAGTAACCATTACCATTTTATCCACTGGTGAAATTTTTTTAGATTTTTTTCTTGAATATTTCTTCTTCTTTTCTTCCTACCTAGATAAATATTTTCAAAATAAAGACCATTTTAATAAATTCTCCTTGTGTTCTTACAGTTATCACATACCAAGTGATATACCAAGTAGTACTAGATGCTTATTTCTAGTAGTGCCTAAAAATCCAAGAGTAGGACCCAGTGTTATAAGACCTCTGAACAGGTTTTTCACTTTAATGTGTATGAATATGTCTGTATAAGTAAAATATTGAAGACAGAGCAAAGTTTTATAAATTAAAATTCAAGTAAAATAATGATAGTATTAGAGAATGAAAAACATTATTTTCTTAAATCTTGCCTGGGCCATTGATTTACAACAGAAACATAATAACTCTATCTGAAATTACTGTTTTGTTACAGTATTTGGAGAGTGAAACTACTGTCCTTGACTGTGCTAGAAAGGGGAAAAATTAAGAGTTTTGCACATAAAAATAAAGGTCCAAAAATAAGTATTTATCCCAAATAACCAAGTCTGTAAATTATGAAGCAGTAATCTTCAATATTACATTAAGGAAATTACTTTAGGCTCTCCCTGATGGTGCAATGGGTTAAAATGCAACCCTGTAAACAAGCTGCAGCCACTTCAGCACAAACGATCCCTGCCCCAGAGATGATCCACATGGTACAGCAGACCTCTCTTGTCTCACCTGCTGCTCCCCTCAGCAATGTACTTGGTCAGTCTGCCTGGCCTGCTCCCCACGGCAGCTCTGATGAATCCTTTCACCACCCCTGGACCTCTGGCTTGCATCCCAGTTCTGTATGCATAAATAAATCTTAAAAAAAAAAAAGGAAAAAATTATTTTAAGGAGAACTGAGAATATTGCTTTTTTGCCTTTACTTGTTTAATTGCAAACTGAATGCTGCTTCTGATAGAATTCTTGTAGGATGAATTGATGGTATAGCAAACCCAGTCATTTGACTTGAATGTAAATCACAGGGGAGAAACAATTCAAAGAATCTTAAGATTCTCAGAGACACTTCATATAGAATGTGGCCTTGGAATGTTGGAAATATTGAAATGTTAGACTTTGTGTTATAACAAATACCCCAATGAAAGTATGGAGCATATCACTCAGATAAATTAATATGACTACTTAGGGATTTCACCTCTTAATGAAACAACTAAATAAGTAGAAGAAATTTATTTTGCTTGGCAGTTTTATTTTTTTATTTGGAATATTGTGGTTTGTTTTTGTCTCGGGGCCTGTATAAGGAATTCAGAAATACCAAGAAATAAGATTTGAGTTGGCCCTTGAGTAAGTTGTTTCTGATTATTTCCCTGTTTGAATAGTACTCGGTAAAAGAGGTTAACTTATTGCAACAAGGAAGTTCACTGATCTATTCAGGGTATTGAAAACATACAAGGCAAAAGAACGCAACTTTACCTCTAAGTTAATTTGTCTTCTGGTTTGTCTAAGTGAAACTTGTTATTTGGAAGGACATAAGGACATAGAAATCTACTAAGTTATCTCAGCGTAGTATTTGTCTACTAGTGATTGCCTTTGAAATGTGTCTCACAGTTACAAGAAAGGGAAATTGGGGTTCTCCCTGGTGGCTGGGTTAAGGAGCAGCTCTGTGAAGCTGTCCATAGCTACTGCAGCACGAGTTCAATCCCCAGTCAGGGAGGCAATCTACATGGTGTGGCAAACCTCTCCTGACCCACCCACTGCTCTCCTCAGCAGTGGATTTATATTATCTGCCTGTTATGTCCCTCATTCTGTTTCTGAATCTTCCCACCCTTGCACCTCTGGCATGTACCCCAGTTCTTATATGCATAAATAGATAAATCTTAAAAGAAAAGTAAACAAAAGGATGTCCTCTGTAGACCAGTGCTTCTCAGACTTTAATGTCCATCCAAATCAGCTTGGTATTTCCTTAAAATGCCTAACTTTATCCCATAGAATTAGAATGAAGCATCA